CCCCTCGCTCCGTACCATGGTCTGAACCAGAGCCGGACGCGAGAGGTCGCCGTCGCCGATCACATTCCTGAGGACACGGCGGTGCTCAGTCCACGCAGGACACACCGCCACCGTATGCTCCACCGTGTCCTCCGGGCGATCCTCGCAGTGATGACACCCGGGCGTTTCCTCCCGCCCAATCCGAAACAGGAACCTACCGAAACTCCCGTGTCCGGTAAGCACCTGCGTCAGGCGGTAGGTGAGGACGCCGTAGCGTCTCTCAAGCCACTCCTCAAAGAGGGGACTTACCGCTGCAATGACAGCGAGCCCAAATTTTGATACCCTGGAAACTACCCAATTGACCGTAGCGAAACTTAACGGGTTACCGGGGCTCCGGCTCGACGTGCAGGAGAAGGAACGGGGTGGTTTTTAGTCAGTAAGAGTCTGACACTCCCTCCCGCCTCACCCAGGCGGGAGCAGTGATTCGATGATTTAACCCGCTTTTTAAAATTTTTTTTTGAAGAAACAAAATAGGTGCCCTAGTCCTACACTAGGCATGTCTCCTGTGTCGTACGTTTACAAACATACAAGTTCACATACACATGACACCCAGACACGGAACTACAATCTGTGGACCACACAAAGAGTTATTTCGTGCGGGAATGGAACCCGCCACGGCGCCAACCGCGCAATAAAAATATATCAATCACATTAGTATAATTCACATATATAATAACAACCCGCCTTTTATCCTCGAAGGGGTAGGCAGAGATGCACATTATGCCACTGCACAATGTAACACCCACTTCTCAGTATTTATGTTATGAGTCCCATGTAATAGGGGGTGAGCCTAATGCCATATACCGAGCACAATTCCAGACTCCGTGCTACTACTGAGAATTATTAAACAACCCAGTAATACTTTGCCCGACCGGGAATCGAACCCGAGACCCCTTGCCTGGCAGTCGCACTTGCGACCACTCGACCAACGAGACAGTCTCGTATAACTAACTTGCCATGTTTATGATACAGTATACATATATATCTACGTACCTATATGCGGTCTGAGCGTCGTGAAGGGATACGGTGCCACGGTGGGGCGCGCGCGAGTCAACGCGCGGAGCAATGTGCTCTTACCTGCACAGAGAATACTTCTGTCGTATACCTATCTGCACTGATCGCTTACCATCAGGTGACACGTCTGCTCGTTTGACTCCTATTGCATAAAAAAAATTGATTCCACTTCTACATATAAGTGTGGGAGAGCCATGCTTCGGCTCGACCGGAGTGATACCACAACCTCCCAAAATCGCTCCAACTCCTATAAGCCAGGATCTACAGTAGATACAACTATGCACCGGAACACTGAAGTCCAACGTCTTTTTTATGGGATAAGCCGGTAAACGAGCAGACGGATCACCTGATGGTAAGCAATCGGCGTCGCCCATGGACACCTGGAACGCCAGAGGCGTTACAAATGCGTTACCGGCCTTTTGGGGATTAGGAGTTTGATGATTGTTCGGGATTCAGAGATTGGGAAAAGGAGGAGGTGTAATTGGGCCTCCGGTAACCTCACTCACGCGACGAAACACAACGCAAGCGTCACGTCGGTTTTCTACTCGGCCGTGGTATCACTCCGGTCGAGCCGGCGCATTCGTGTCGAAGCAAGGCTCTCCCACACTTTGCATTTTATACGACACTAGCGACCCGCCCCGGCTTCGCACGGGTGCAATATGCGTATGTTATAGGTACATATAAAACTTTCTTAAGAATCACTCTATCTATCCTCGTCGAGTACCGGTTTTGTAGACACAATTATAGAACAATAGGTTGCGGTCACCGGTGACCGCTTGGTGTTTGACAGTTTAAAAAAACCGCATCAAAATCCGTTGCGTAGTTTTAAAGATCTAAGCATACATAGGGACAGACAGACGGCGGATAGCGACTTTGTTTTATACTATGTAGTGATACATTACTAATTAATAAAATACAAGTAGTATCAGGAAATACATATTTATCAAGAAATGAAAAAGGGTAAATGCTAGCAGCTCCGTGTCTTTCCTCCCGCGTGTATTATTATACTGACCCGCGTTGGGGTACCCGATGAGTCCGACGTGTGCCATGGACCTCACTTCTAGAACATACACGTTGCTCTCTCCTTTGGCACCGAGTTCCGCCACGCTCGGCGCCTGGGAAGTCACAATATTGCTGTATTTTATTGGACAAACATACATACATAAATACATACGTAGAGAAACCTGGTTCAATAAATAACATCACGCCTTTTAACCCCGAAGGGGTAGGCAGAGGTGAACATTACGGCATTTAATGCCACTGTACTATGTAACACCCACTATTCACTATTTATGTTGAGTCCCATGTAATAGGGGGTGAGTCTATTGCCATGTACCGGGCACAATTCCAGACTCCGTGCTACTACTGAGAATTTTATTAAAAACTTATAGAAATACAGCAAGTATTGTAGTAGTTGCCCGACCCGGGAATCGAACCCGAGACCCCTTGCCTAGCAGTCGCACTTGCGATCACTCGGTAAACGAGGCAGACATGTAAATACATAGGTTGTGAAAGAAATACTTTTTTTAAAACCGCATCGAAATCGTTTAGGCCAGTCGCGAGTTGATCGCGGACAAACAATTATACAGCAGGTCAAAAAGAGAATCTCAATATTATGAGATCAGTTTAAAACAAAGATTGCTTCAGTACAGAGACAGTAGCTGTCGTTATAGTACATTGTTCGCTTTGTAACGAAGCCATGTCTTCTGTAACTCGGTCGGCTCTAGACAACCAATGGCTACTGTCTCTGTACTGAACCAATCTTTGTTTCCTTGCCTGCATACTGAATTACTTGTTTCTACATGACACAGTACCTGTTCAGTATCGGTGAGGAAGAATTTGTTCCCCCTTCCCCCCGCACCCCCTCTCGCCGCGACAAACATCACCCCCTCCGTATTCAGGTCACCCACTACACGACCCGTCTCGTCTCGGATTATAGTACCTATATTTCAGAAAACAAAGTTCAAATTACAATGATTGCATGGTTACCGCTTCTTTGTTTCGAAGTGTATCTTTAAGCATTACTCACCGATAGGTACGGGCACAATGACATGTTGTGAGTTCTTTCCATTGCACTCCTTGTTGAACCCGCGCTCCCCTGGAAGCGCCTGCACTACAGACTTGCAGTGGTTCAAACTCTTCGCTGCATATGACGCCTGGAACGAAATACAATACAGTTACCTACAATTCAATTCAAACTCAAAGGTAAAGTCAAATTCAATTAATCCTTAATTAGGCACTTCTGAAACGTCAAACATTCAATAATCCGTCCGCCTGTATGTCAGTGAAGCTAGGCACTCGTTCCAAAATGTAGTTTCGAATAGAGAAGAACGAGCAATAAAACTATATGGTTACTCTTTTAAAAAAAAAGTTTTTTTTAATATGCTTAAGTTAGTTTTAATTATATTAGAAGCTACAATATTATTAACACATTAAATAAAGATATAAATGAAATTAATAACTACATAAATATTTACAACTTAAAATTAACTACAACTAAACTATTAAATAAAACGTAAAATTTTTTTTTCAATTGTGTTGTTTCAGAAGTTTTGTGATCTCACCACAAAACACCACCTCTACTATTCCTGTGGGTGTTGTATACCTGACTAAGAAAACACATTTAAATATTTATGTAGGGTTGCTGGTTGTGAAACTCGTTGATCATGACGATTATTTATTTATTAGCAACATCGATGCAACCCTAGGTGGAGATGAAAGAGACTGCATGGCTATCGTCTTTCACACCTTCCCCAGCTGGCTGATTCCAGAAGACCGCTAGGCTATCGAAATCCCACGCACCCTTCGCTACACTCTGACCGAAGGTATTGGCTTGTAAAGTATAGGTTTCTATGGAGATAAATAAAATGAACAAAAAGATCTTGTTACTGTTTTATAGGACTACAGAGATAGTTATTACTGTGTGTAGTGTGCACTTGGACTTTTGAAATTTTACAAGAAACTTATATTAACTATCGTGAGACATACTAAATTAAGTAAAATCAATGAGCTGCGCGACGTCGCCGCGGCCGCGCACGCAGCTCATAAGGAAGAACCCCTCTTTGGTTCGAAACTAGTAGAGCTTTTCTCAGTATATTCACGTGAGTAACCCGCGATTTTAGTTAATATTACAAGAAACTTGTTAAACATATCAAAATATTATGTGAAAGGGGTTTCGAAAAACTGCAATTGCTACCTGGAAAATAACATGACCTCCGTTCCCTCCGTCACCTCCGTCAGGTCCTGCATGATCTTTACACCACGCACTTAGGAATGATATACATCCATCTCCGCCGGACCCACCGACGGCTCTCACTCGGAAGGAATCCACATAAAACTGAACTGTATTCCGCGTAGACTTTGCTTTTAAACTGCGAAGCGCTTTCGGCACATACTCCGAACTATAACGCACTATTTGCACTTGAGAACTCAGTTTTAAAGACTGAAATAAATTAATTAATCGCATTTTTTCGTGTTTATTTTAAAATTTAGAGGTTATGTTCATGTTATAAAACTGCTGTCAATTTCATATTGTGATTATTTGTGATTTTGACATTGACAGATAGGCATATTGAATCTGACGATTTGGCAACGTTTAGTTATTTCTAATTGGGTTTTTTTGTCCGATTAATTTAATTATAGTTATAACGCTACCAATACTATAATATATTATACTAGCGACCCGCCCCGGCTTCGCACGGGTACATTATACATATATTATACACTAGCTGTGCCCGCGACTTCGTTCGCGTAGAATAGTGACTATGGGCAGCGTTTTTTTTTTAAATATATACTTATTTTTATTTTAGATTTGGATCATAATCACAGTCATTTTGGGTAGCTAAAAAACCTACTTTACTGTAATGCTTCTCTATATACAATATTAGACGTATGGCCATCGGGGGTGAAAGCATACAGGCTGCTGGGATTGCTAACACGGGACAGAACCACATACAATTGACCGTGCGAAAAACAGCTGATACTTAGATCTATACCCACAACTTTTAGAGTCTGACCTTGAGCTTTATTAATTGTCATGGCGAAACATAGGCTCACTGGAAACTGAATTCGTTTAAAATTAAACGGAAAATTTTTTGGAATGAGAGGAATCTGAGGAATAAAACCACTATCACCTTTTCCGCACCCTGTTAAATATATATATATTTATAAGCCATTTCTGAGATTAGCGTGAACAGACAAACAGACAAACAGACAAAAAAAAAGTTAGTTACATTTTTGGGTTCGACATCGACATAACAATAGCCCCTGCTATTTTTTTTATTTTTATTTTCAATGTACAGACAGCACTTTTCTACAATTTTATTATATGTATAGATAGATAGATAGTGTTCGACGTGATTCTTTAATTTGACGTAACTTTTTTATTTATGAACCGATTGACATGAAACAAACACTAAAGCATAACTGAAGCATACCACAATATATTCGTGAAAACCGCATCCAACTCGGATAAGCCGTTTCTGAGATTAGCGTGAACAGACAAACAGACAAACAGACAAAAAAAAAGTTAGTTACATTTTTGGGTTCGACATCGACATAACAATAGCCCCTGCTATTTTTTTTATTTTTATTTTCAATGTACAGACAGCACTTTTCTACAATTTTATTATATGTATAGATTTAAACCTTCCTTAAGAACTATCTATTAAAAAAACCGCATCAAAACTCGTTGCGTAGTTTTAAAGATGTAAGCATACATAAGGACAGAGACAGGCAGACGGCGGATAGCGATTTTGTTTTATACTATGTAGTGATTATTATTATACGTACGTTGGGTTCTCAATGTCTGTTAAGATAATCGCAAACTTTACGTACCTAGTACGCTGGCCGAGTGGTCGCTAGTGCGATTGCCGGGCAAGGGGTCTCGGATTCGATTCCCGAGTTTCCCAAAATATTACTGAGCTTTTTAAAAATTACTTTATATTACAAAAAATCTCAGTCATAGCACGGAGTCTTGAATTGTGCCCTGTATATGGCAATAGGCTCAAGATTTACATGGGACTCATAACATAAATAGTGAAAAGTGGGTGTTACATTATACGGTGGCATTAAGTGCTGTAATGTGCACCGCTGCCTACCTCTTTCGGGATAAAAGGCGTAATGTTATGTTTATGTAGGTAGTACACTTCTTTTCTGTACGTAAAGTTGGTGTCTAAAACAATTGTAAAGTGTTTCTAAGTCAATAATAGTTCTAAACAATGTCGAAAATATGTGATAGATCCGTGCCCGTTGTGCTGGTATGGAACAAGTTTGGGTTCAAAAAGATACACACTTGAAACTTGTTTCATGTGGCAGATAAAACGTAAATACTTTCCCACGTGGCTTATAAAATGACTAATATCTATTCTGTTCTCTATCATGCAGTAACACTTCTCTTCAAGTGTTTACGCTGATGATAGATAAATTACGCGTCTACTTAAATGTATGAGTACATGCTAACAAATGGATATTGTGTTAAACTGTCAAACACCAAGCGGTCACCGGTGACCGCAACCTATTGTTCTATAATTGTGTCTACAAAACCGGTACTCGACGAGTTAAGACCAGCGAAGAAAGAAAAAAAACAAAATATAGTAGCACAAACCCCGTTTTTTTATGGGATAATATGTCGGTAAACCAGCAGATAGATCACCTGATGGTAAGCAATCGGCGCCGCTTATAGACGCCTGAAACACTACCGTACAAGTACGTTACCGGCCTCTTGGGAATTAGGAATTTTAGGATTGTGGTGGATTCGGGGTTTTGGGAGACTGATGAGGGGAGAGGGTAATTGGGCCTCCGATAACCTCACTCACATGACGAAACACAACGCAAGTTATTTCACGTCGGTTTTCAGTAAAGCCGTAATATCACTCCGGTTTAGCCGACCCATTTGTGCCGAAGCATGACTCTCACATTAGCAGGGGGAGAGATCTGATCCTTTTAACTTTTTTTGCAATATTCTTATTCAAAAAGATACTAACGCCAACGCATTACCTATTCTACAAACCACTTAACATTATGTTAAGTCCCGTATTTTACGAATAACTCTTCACTCTTATCTTCGAACTAGTTTTCTACCGGTAGCTTCACCCGCGAAACTAAGTAATACAATTCATTCGTAATTGAAAATCGCATAAAATACTCTTCAATCGTTTTCGAGTTAGTACATACAGACAGACACGTTAGGGACATTTGCTTTGTGTAAGTTTAGGTAAGTGATGCTTGATATATAGGTAATGAGTTGTTATTTTCCTACAGTCTTCAATATGAAGGTGCTAGTAGTGTTGTATATTGTTAGCGCGGGTGTGGGAGTGTTGGGGTACCACAAGAGTGTGGGCATCCCAGCTGCCACTGAGATACGTCTGCGAGAGTCCATGCGAGTGGCTGGAGGCTTACCTTCTTACTTTGAGGAACACCCATTTGTAGTAAGTTTTTTATGGAATAAACCGGTAAACGAGCCGACGGATCACCTGATGGTAAGCAATCGGCGTCGCCCATGGACACCTGGAATACCAGAGGCGTTACAAGTTACCGCTAAGTGCGTTAACGGCCTTTTGGGATTAGGAATTTGAAGAGTTTCTTGTTCGTTCTTCTCCACTCGAATCGACATTTTGGAACGAGCGCCTAGCTTCACTGACGGACAGACTGACAGACTATTATTTATTTCATATTTGTTGACATTTCAAAAGTACCAAATTACTGTTTAATTGAAATAAATGCTTTTGAGCTTGAGTTTGATGATTGTTGGGGATTTAGGGATCGGAAAAGTGGGCGAGGGGTAATTGGGAGTCCGGTAACCTTACTCAGACGACGAAACATAAAAGTTTCGTAATCTTTATATAGATTAGTCAACATCACATGACCGATCATTGTTAGATGTTCGCAGCCACGTTTGGTAAGCAGTGTAAAAGGTTCAGGCTTATCAGAGAGCGCTGCTGTCTTACTTTCTGTTAAATATATAGTCCAGTAATCGGTTGCAACACCTGCGGAAACAAGGGATGGCGACACATGTACAGCTTGACAAAAAATGGACTTGGACTGAATCACCCACTTCGGACCATATCCCATGAATAATTTATCCTCTGAATATAGTGTCTCGATTAAAATAACAAATATCAAAACCGATTGAGTCGTAGTGTACCAGGTTGCCAAGGTACGATAGTAGCGACCACATTTATGCCTAACTTGTTTGCCATGCTGTAAGAGTCATGGAGTCGAAATTGCTTCGAGAAAAGTATAGTACTGTGGCTAGCTGTGCATCATTTTTGCTGACCCACCGTCACTGCCGTCACCACAAAGGCACAGGGAGGAGTGTTAAAATAATAATCACTATCACTACAAAGTATAAAACAAAGTGAGGCTCAATGTGATGTCGGAATACATTGACTTATTTTATTGTACACTGAACGAATTCAGAAGAGCCTGTTACTGTACCTGTATCCATCTGTGACTTAGCTTAAGGAATATGTTTGTTACCATAGTTATAAATGTTGTAGTACCAAATTGTAAAATAGACTTGTAATTTAATTCTATTAATATTGGCATACACTATTGCATTAGGTATTAGTTCCTGTTATAATAGTAGTATACATAGTTTATAAATAAATAAATAAATAAATAAGTCGCTATCCGCCGTCTGTCTGTCCCTATGTATGCTTAAATTTTTAAAACTACGCAACGGATTTTGATGCGGCTTTTTTTTAATAGATAGAGTGATTCTTAAGGCAGGTCTATATGTATGTATAATACATGCATATTGCATTCTTGCAAAGCCGGGGCGGTTCGCTAGTTTAAAATAAGACGATTATCTTCCTACTCTGTATCGCCATAAGGTATATTATCGAGTGTGTTGCAGGCGGGGTTGGTGATCACGTTGACGACTGGTCAGACGTCAGTATGTGGCGGCGCGCTGATCAGTGACAGACGAGTACTGACCGCGGCTCAATGTGCCTGGGACGGGGACCTGAAGGCTGACGAGATCACCGTAAGTTATAACGACATAACGTCGTGAATTGTGTTAATACGTTTTCAACCGTGACTGCACGGTTGGTGCGGTGACTGGGCAACCGGCTGCCGTGCAACGTGTCGCGGGTTCGATTCCCGCACGAAACAACACTTTGTGTGATCCACAGATTCTTGTTTCGGGTCTGTGTGTCATGTGTATGTGAACTTGTATGTTTGTAAACGTACACACGAGACAGGAGATAATCCTAGTGTGGGGCAACGTTTTAAAAAAAAAACCTTCGCAGTTTGAAACCTAATTCAGCTACTGATTTCTGCTACATAACATAACATAACATCACGTCTTTTATCCCCGAAGGGGTAGGCAAGTAGGCAAAGGTGAACATTACGGCACTGTACAATGTAACACCCACTTTTCACTGTTTATATTATGAGTCCCATGTAAGAAGGGGCGAGCCTATTGCTATATATATATCGGGCACAACTCCAAACTCCGTTTTACTACTGAGATTTTTTTTAATCCAGTAATACTTTGCCCGCCTATTACATGGTACTCGTAATATAAATAGTGAAGACTGGGTGTTACATTGTACAGTGGCATCAAGTGCCCCTTCAAGTAATGTTATGTAACATAATTATCTTAGCTTAAAGGTCCCTTTTAATTTGGGAGAGGTTCGAGGTTGGGCAGAAGCATACATATCCCAATTTGACTGTTGTTGCGCTATTTCATTAGTTAATTTGAATAAAAACTGGACTTTTCGAATAAAGTTTGACAACATTGACGGCAGGTGGTGTTAGGCTCTATAAAACTGTTCTTTGGCGGCACCCGACTCTCAGCAACGTACACTCTACACCCGGACTACGATCCTACAGCTACTGGCTTCAAGCGACTGCAACACGACATCGCTGTGTTAGCGATATCCAGAGTCTTCCTCAGCTGTACGTATTTATTTTAATATTTTATTGTATTGAACAGTCGAAATAATTTATTTTTGATTATGTAAAGTAGCCAATTTGACTGCTTAGTTGGCTAGTACCCTATTCTTTATGTGATCAACGTTGGTCCGAATCTGAATTTTTAATAAAATTATTTGTTTGTAAAGGCAACTAGGACATAATAAAACAATGATCATTTTAATTTAAATAAAGATATGTAAAGAATTGGCCACAGAAAGCTTTATGAAGAGACGAGCGGAAAGAAGGCCTTTGCCCTGCAGTGGGACGACATTAGCTAAAAATAAATAAATAATAAAGATATCTACATCTACTGCAATATTGATGTTATTTATGTTGCAGATTCTATCAACATCATACCGCTCCCGAAGGGTATGAACGACACGTTCGTGGGAAGAAAATCAGAAGTCATCGGCTTCGGGATGACCGGAGAGAGTGAGTACAATTTTCATTGAAGTTTTTAAACAATACTAGCTTGCACTCTGCGACTTATTCGTGTCGTCAGGGACGTTGCTCAAAAATCACACTCGGTACCTATATATAATATTATGAGATATGCGATTTTTCAGATAAATACTTAAAATGAATGAATACCGCGTAAATATTGGGTATTTATCCACTGCTTTGGATAAATTACAATATGAATAAATAAATAAATACTACGAATATTTACAGGGCAGTTTTTCATTTTTATTCATTTTGAATATTTATCCGAAAAATCACCCGCCTATACTACATATTGGGAAACCGTTAAGCGTACATAAATCTGAATGATAATTTATGAGTTAAGCCACAGAGAAGTAGTTAGACAAGAAAATACAAGACACTGGCAAGGCAGGAGGCCTGTAGTGCGAGCGCTTATGCGTTTTGTTTCTCCTCAGACAACCCCATAGTGAATAATCAAGCTCAGCGCGACGTGTACGTCCCAGTGATTAGTAACGCAGCTTGCAACGAATACTTCTGGTACTCACTCAGTGACGCACAGCTGTGTACCAACGGTACAGGCGGCCGTGGGCCCTGCGGCGGCGACGGTGGCGCCCCCCTCATACTGCGATACTACTCCGGAAATACTGATTTATTGGTAAGTATCATTTTAAACAGTGTATTTTCTTTGTTTAGTGTATCTTTTGCCTTTGGTAAGTGTAGGTGCTGTATAAGGAAGGAGTCTCAGTTGGATTTCCGATGCCAATTGGAATTTTTCAAAAAGGCGGAGATTGTATAGTTAAAAGTTACTAGTACGAGATGACTGGGATCCATCTTATCTAAGCGATTCGTTACTAACTACTTTCGTTCTACGTTCACTTTTATTTACAGATCGGGCTGGTTTCCTTCAGTCATATCAAGGGCTGCCAGTCGGGGAATCCAACAGGCTATACCCGTATCACTTCGTACATGAGCTGGATCGAAACCTTCCTGTAGGCCACAGTGTTAAGAGCTGAAAATGTTCAGGATTATGTTTTTTATAAGGGAATGTAAATATTATACTGTGAAATATAATAAAAAATAGCTGATGGTTGCTTTGTCTTTCTCTTTGTGTAGAATATTAAATTTAAGCCGTAAGGTACCTAATTAGATGTCAATGAACAGAAATCCTGTTACTGCATTATATTTCTGACTGACCGTATCGTCTCTTATCACCAGGTGATAAATTAAAGTAGACTAGAGTCTGGCAAACGAAAGTAGAGGCTGAAAAAGCCCGGCAAATTTAAAAAATATCAGTGTAGCAACCCAAAAATTAATATGTCATACCTGGAGTAACTAGACGTGAAGACGTAACAAACAAACAAATTATTATAAAGTATCAAATTAGGTTGCTCCAGATGTGATATACTAATTTTTGGGTTGCTATGTTGCTATACTGATATTTTTTAAAATTTGCCGGGTTTTTTCAGTCTCTACTTTCGTTTGCCAGACTCTAATGCCTATCAATAACAAATCCAATTGGCTTAAAAGCCTAAGTTCCGAAACAGTACTAACTGTCAAACAAACAGAGTTGTTGATTGTTGTAATTAAAAAAAGTGAAAGTGTAGAGCAAAAAATATTTGCAAGAAAATGAAGATTTTTATAAAAATTGTGAGGTTCGAGGTGTAAGTAATGAGTATGAATGATAGCGAGGATCATGGGGAAGCCGTCTGTGAGGGCTGCTTGTCTCAGAACCAGCAGGTCATTACAGAAATTGCAGAATACGATATCAAGAAAGTGTATTACGATATAATCAATATTCTGGACGCTGTAAGTGGTTTTCTATTAGTTTATTGAGAGAATCAAATAGTTTTCTAGTTATTTGATTCTGTATAGAACTTATTGCGACAGTTTTTCAATGATTTTGGTAAGAAATATAAACTTTAATGAGGAATCTAAGTGGGCCAGTAAAGAAAGTTGTTTTGTATTAGAATGTCTATATAAACTAATATTAATACGTACAATTTGTTACCAAACGTGTGAGAAATTTAAATCACCGCAACAATATTTATGTTACTAAGTTTTTCATTAACTTATACTAATTGTAGAAAGAGGAAAGGTTTGATTTTTTGTTTGAATGGAATCTCCTCCAAAACTACTGGACAAATTTGAATTTTTTTTTACTGTTGGAATCCTACATAATTGATGATGAAAATAGGCTATATTTAATAAGAGAGAAAATAGGGAACTGTGTGAAAATTTCGATAATGTATCTGGATGTGTGATTATATTGCAAACACTGTTATCAGAAAACCCAAGTTCTTCCAGAAGTCATTATTTTATGTGGACGAAGTCACGGGGAACAGCTAGTAAAATATACTTTTAAAATACTAAGGCACTCAATATAACAACAGGACATTGCCGCGCTAAGTCTACGTCTATGTGCGGAGTGCAAGGACAGTATCGTGAAGTTCTTAGAGTTCCGGAGACAAGTGCTGGAGGCACGGGATACTGTCAACAAGTACCTGGTGAGTGTGTGGGCAGGGTTTCACATCACGCCTTTTGCCCCCGAAGTGGTAGGCAGAGGTGCACATTACAATGCTTAATGCCACTGTACAACATAACACACTCTTTTCTCTATTTATGTTACGAGTCCCATATAATAAGGGGTGAGCCTATTAACATATACCGGGTTCCAGTTCCAGACTCTGTACCAGGGTTGTACCGTTGTTGCTGATGCTGATTTATTGTAATGTACATCAACTGATGCTGATGCTGATATTTGCAACAACCCTGCTCTGTACTATGTTCATTTTTTTTAAACCCAGTAATACTTTGCGCGACCTGAGAATCAAACCCGATACCCAGAGTCAACAGCAGATAAAAAATTCTAAACCCTAATAATATTTTTTCTGATTTCGTAATATACAGAGAAGCTTCCTTCTCTTGACAGTTGACCACAGTCACATCAACTCTTAATATTCAGTTACAGTCAGAAGCCAGTATAAAAACTGAACAGTCTACAATCACTCCAAGTGAGTTCAAGAGTGATCCGGAGGAGTTGGTCACTCCTCTTCCCTTTGTGAAGGTAGAACTAGATGGAGAGGACCACTTCCTTGATGATGATAGTCAAGGTGCAGAGGATTTAAAGGTATAGTTCTCAAATTGCATGTTAAGAATATTAAATTGTAAAATTATAGACGAAATAACTTAAACACTCACTTACTCATTCATTCACTTACTCACTCACTCAGTAATGCACATAACATAACATAATATAGACAGAGCTGCACATTACGACACTTGATGCCACTGTACAATGTAACACCCACTTTTCACTATTTATGTCCCATGTAATAGGGGGTGAGCCTATTGCCATATACCAGGCAGGATTTCAGACTCCGTGCCCCTACTAAGTTTTTTGAAAAAACCCAGTACATGATACTTTGTCTGACCCGGGAATGGAACTCGAGACCCCTTGCTCTACAGTCGCATTTGCGACCACTCGGCCAACGTGGCAGTTAGTAATTCACTCAATGAGTAACTCATTTGCTTATTGAATCACTCATTCATTCACTCACTCACTTACTCAGTCACTCATTATAATACACACTCACTAACTCACATAGATTCTCTCATCATTCATCGTACCAACTCACTCTCCTACAAACAGTTTCTTCATAAACATTACTTTATAATATTCCAGCCCGCTTTAAAAACAAGTTTGAAAAAGAAGAATACAGTAAAAAGCAGAGGTAAGAGTAAGAAGAGAACAGAAGATGAGTTCAACGACTCGGACGAGGAGCCGCTTACTAAGAAGAAGACTGATACTAGCGTTAAGAAGGAGAAGAAGAAAGGTGAGTAGGCAATTCTATTCGTTTGGAACTTTAGAAAAATTAATCATTGAAATATTTTTTTTAATTTGATGCTATTTATATTGATATACAATCTTAAATAACATAAATACTAACTATCACTAAATATATACAACTTAAGATAAAAATTTATTAAAAGAAAACTATAAATAGAGTCTGGCAAACGAAAGTAGAGACTGAAAAAGCCCGGCAAATTTAAAAAATATCAGTACAGCAACCCAAAAATTAGTATGTCATACCTGGAGTAACCAGACGTGAAGACGTAACAAACAAACAAATTATTATAAAGTATCAAATTAGGTTATAAAGTATTAAATTAGGCACAAAGGGTTAATGCAGTCAAAGAGATTGAAAAAGAAAATAACCTTGAGGACCGGAGGAGAACAAGACATGTTCATGTCCGATCACGACCGGAGTGATATCACGGCCGCACAGAAAACTGGCATGAAATAATGCTTGCATTGTGCTTCTCCATGTGAGTGAGGTTATCGAAAGCCCAATTTCGCCCTTTCCTAATCCCTAACCCCCAAAAGGTCGGCAACGGAATAGTAACTCGTCTAGTATTGCAGTTCTCCAAGAGTGACGACGACAGGGTAGTTTCCTATATTTTATTTTAATGTCCGTCTGGTAGATTAATTTAAATCATTAGACACGTATTTTTTTCTCACAATATTAACTACTTTCGACGATATCTTAATTTGTAATATCGTGAGACGTCCCATAACACTACATTTTTGTAGCACGCTGTGACGTAACGACCTGCCACTCCTAAACTTTATTTTATACGAGCAAATAAAAAATACGTGTCTAATATTTTTCATTTCATTTCATTTTCATAAAAATGTAATTAGTCCGTAAGTTAGTTAGTTATAATATAACTGACGGACTAATTAGGTTCTTTAATTTTCATACCCTGGCAACTATTCTATTGCTTTTATCACGTCATCTGTCTTCTAGTTTGCCGGCCTATTCCATAAAAAAATGTTCCTGTGACGCGCCGGACTTCAATGTTCCGGTGTTTGCATGGTTGTGTCTACTGTAGATCCTGGTGCACAGGAGTTGCAGCAGGTTTTGGAAGGTTATGGCGGACTTGTCATAAAAATATTACGGCCGCTGTAGCTATATTAATATTCATCAACACGCCATATCAATTCTCCATTTATGCGGTACTTTAGGAGTTTAAGTTATTTAAAGAGTTTTCTTTTACCGTGAGGTCGCCGCGAGCGTCCGGCCGGTATAGTGGACAACTCCCGCGTCCGCCGCAAACTGCAGCAACTCAACGTCGACTCCGGGCTTATCACCATGGAGATACTCAGCTGGGAACAGGTATATAAGTTAGCGAGTGAGTGAGTGAGTGAATGAATGAGTGAGTGTTATCGCATATATAATGAGTGTATTCAGTATATAAGTGATTGAATGAATTAATCAATTAATGAGTTAGTGTGTCTAAGTGTGAGTGAGTACGAGCCCGTGAATGAGTGTATGAGTGAGTGAGTACAATACGTATTACGTAGGTAGCGGCGGAGCGCGCGGCGGCGGCGAGCGCGGTACGGTACACCCAGTGTGTGTGGAGGTGTCAGCATTGTGTGCTCGGGTTCAACCATCGCACCAAACTAGAAAACCATATGAAGAAACATGACCCTGTGAGTATAATTTAAAGTCATATCAAGCTATGCAAAACCAGTGTAACAATACCTCGCTTTATTTGATTTGTCCACGCATTCAAAGCTCAGTGTATACTATATACTGTATATGTTTTGCGTAGCTCAATGTTAAGTGTCGTGGTGGCTCGAAGGTTAAGACGCCCGCATCATATGCATGAGGGCGCGGGCTCGAAACCTACCAACGGCAAGTACCAATGTGACTGTTCCGGAGTAATATGTACTTTCTAAGATTATCTAGACACCACTGATAAATAGGGAAGGAAAACATCGCATCGTGAGGAAAACTGAACTTATAATTTTTAATTGTGAGTTTGAAATCGCCAATCCGCATTGAGCTAGCGTGGTGGTTAATACTCAAACCTTCTCCGTGTGAGAAGAGGCCTTTGGTCAGCAGTGGACACTTATAGGCTGATGACGTGATGTTGGTGAATGTGTACTGTGAGTCACCAGTACGTTGTCGGCCGTGTAGTGACTGTATGTAGCGAGTAATGTATTGTTTCCAGAGCGCGGGCGGCCACGTGTGTGCAGTGTGCACGGTGCGCTGCAAGGACGCGCACGCACTCAGCGCGCATGTCCGGCGACATCGCGTCCGGTACCTCACTATATTACTTTTACCATTCATTGTCCATTCTCCTCTATCATGCGTCATCACATCACAAACTCCTTTCTACATACATAACATCACACCTTTTATCCCCGAAGGAGTACGCAGAGGTGATTATCATGCCACTGTACAATGTAACACCCACTTTTCACTATTTATGTTATGAGTCCCATGTAATGGGGGGTGAGCCTATTGCCATATACCGGGCACAATTCCAGACTCCGTGCTACTACTGAGAATTAAATTAAAACCCAGTTATACTTTGCCTGACCCGGGAATCGAACCGAGACCCCTTGCCCGGAAGTCGCATTTACAACCCTCGGCCAATAAGGCAGTACAAACTCCTTTCTTTATCAAATCATTCAAGTGTGGGGGAGCCATGCTTCGGCACTAATAGGTCGGCTCGACCGGAGTGATACCACGGCCGAGCAGAAAACCGACGTGAAGCAACGCTTGCGTTGTGTATCGTCGCGTGAGTGAGGTTACCGGAGGCCCAATTACACCCCCTCCCCAATCCCCGAATTCCCAACAATTCTCAAATTCCTAAATTCCTTCCTTTCTGGTCCCGTGTGTGCGTGGCGGCGGACCACGCGGCCCGCGCGCACGCCGCGCCCCCCCCCTCGCGAGATATAGATCTGTAAATGTCCCCCCCGCAGATATAGATCTGTAAATGTCCCCCCCGCAGATATAGATCTGTAAATGTCCCCCCCGCAGATGGCGCTGCCTGCCGTGCGGGGCCGCGTGGTCCCGCGTGTGCGTGGCGGCGGACCACGCGGCCCGCGCGCACGCCGCGCCCCCCCCTCGCGAGATATAGATCTGTAAATGTCCCCCCCGCAGATATAGATCTGTAAATGTCCCCCCCGCAGATGGCGCTGCCTGCCGTGCGGGGCCGCGTGGTCCCGCGTGTGCGTGGCGGCGGACCACGCGGCCCGCGCGCACGCCGCGCCCCCCCCTCGCGAGATATAGATCTGTAAATGTCCCCCCCGCAGATATAGATCTGTAAATGTCCCCCCCGCAGATGGCGCTGCCTGCCGTGCGGGGCCGCGTGGTCCCGCGTGTGCGTGGCGGCGGACCACGCGGCCCGCGCGCACGCCGCGCCCCCCCCTCGCGAGATATAGATCTGTAAATGTCCCCCCCGCAGATATAGATCTGTAAATGTCCCCCCCGCAGATGGCGCTGCCTGCCGTGCGGGGCCGCGTGGTCCCGCGTGTGCGTGGCGGCGGACCACGCGGCCCGCGCGCACGCCGCGCCCCCCCCTCGCGAGATATAGATCTGTAAATGTCCCCCCCGCAGATATAGATCTGTAAATGTCCCCCCCGCAGATGGCGCTGCCTGCCGTGCGGGGCCGCGTGGTCCCGCGTGTGCGTGGCGGCGGACCACGCGGCCCGCGCGCACGCCGCGCCCCCCCCTCGCGAGATATAGATCTGTAAATGTCCCCCCCCCAGATATAGATCTGTAAATGTCCCCCCCGCAGATATAGATCTGTAAATGTCCCCCCCGCAGATGGCGCTGCCTGCCGTGCGGGGCCGCGTGGTCCCGCGTGTGCGTGGCGGCGGACCACGCGGCCCGCGCGCACGCCGCGCCCCCCCCTCGCGAGATATAGATCTGTAAATGTCCCCCCCGCAGATATAGATCTGTAAATGTCCCCCCCGCAGATGGCGCTGCCTGCCGTGCGGGGCCGCGTGGTCCCGCGTGTGCGTGGCGGCGGACCACGCGGCCCGCGCGCACGCCGCGCCCCCCCCTCGCGAGATATAGATCTGTAAATGTCCCCCCCGCAGATATAGATCTGTAAATGTCCCCCCCGCAGATGGCGCTGCCTGCCGTGCGGGGCCGCGTGGTCCCGCGTGTGCGTGGCGGCGGACCACGCGGCCCGCGCGCACGCCGCGCCCCCCCCCACGCACTCCTGCGCGCGCTGCGGGGACATCTACCCGTGCGTACAGCTTCATTTACTTATATACTTATAAACTTCATTCATACTTCGTTCAAAACTTTGTTCAAAAATTTGACTGCACGGTTGACGCGGTGGCTGGGCAACTGGGTGCCGCGCAACGTGTCGCGGGTTCGATTCCCGCACGGAACAACTCTTTGTGTGATCCACAGATTGTTGTTCCGGGTCTGGGTGTCATGTGTATGTGATATTCTATGTTTGTAAACGCACCCACGACACAGGAGAAAATCCTAGTGTGGGGCAACGTTTTTTTTTTTTAAAAAAAACTTTGTTGCCATCATCTCTGTATTTGCTCATTCTGTATTTGTATTATAACTTTCGTGAGACATACTAAATAAATTATTATGTTTTCGGCTTACTCACGTAATTATTTGACGAGGAACTCGACTAGTTTCAAGTCATACTAGAGGCTTATATTCATGAGCAGCATTTTGCGACCCACGACGCGGTGACTGTAGCAGCACGACAGTAAGTCGAAAACATAATAATGTATTGTTCATTCTGCCTTCATTAGCTTTGTCATCAAACTATTAGCAACAAAAATTGGTATAGAACAGAAAATATTAAAATTATATGCAAGGTGACTTGTACCTCGACGTTTTCCTCTCGGTAGGTGATAATATAATTAATTTCCTACAAAATTAGTCCTGAACTCTCTGGTCCGAAAGTGACTAGTTTCTGAGATATTCAACATTTTAGATTATAGTGAAAAAATCCGGAACTGACTACAGAAACATCAATGAATAAAAAAGTACTGGTCTGATTTTAGGTTTAATTTGTTGTCAATACATCAAAACTATTTATTATACTCATACTAGCAGAAATATTATTCGTTTTAATTTACCAAGTAAATTAATATCAAATGTTTTGGGTCTCTAATTTGGTCAATAGAAAACTGGTTTTAGTTTAAAAAATTGATATTACACTAAGCGTACAAACTATTCGATAAACTTCCTTGGTTTATAAGCTACATAACACTTTAAATAATTTATAAAATTCTCAAAAAAAAAATTAATAACTTGATGATAAGTAAAGTGTAAAAGAAACCGGGCAATTTCAAAAATAAAATTTTTGCACACGCTTTATCTGTGTGACAGTCACTCTTGAACCGAATGAGCATCTTATTTCTTTAGCGGCTTCACTCGGATTGAAGACGCTCATTCAGAGTGAAGCGGCTAAAGAAATAAGACGCTCATTCAGTTCAAGAGTGTCCTTATGGCTAATTTGTATTATCACCTCCCGAAAAGAATACATCAAGTTACAAGTCACTCTAGATAAAAGTCAATATTTTTACTAATATGTCAATTGTTCACCTATATTATTAACTCTACCTTCATTTGCTTCTCATCAATTCCCGCTTAAGTACTCGTTTTTACGAACCTTTCTTAAGTTTTTAGGAAAGGTTTTCGCTAACTTATAAGTGACACCTAACAGAAAATTTAAGGGGTTAGTTTAAGTGCTATATATCACGCTACGTAACTTAGCCAAGAGATGGTTAGGTTATAAATTCACTTCTACTTACACTACCTTCTGTATCAGTTCGCTCGGCAAGTTACGTTTACACATGAAGAGCCACGCCGAGCGCCAGCGCTGTCACCTCTGTGGGAAGACATTCAGGGACCGAACCTCGCTACGGACACATCTATTGTACGTATATTTTTATATTTATCTAGCTACTTCTGCGCGGTTCGATCATACCGTGATGTTTTATAGCCTAAAGCATTTTTCTATGTATGGACTAACCAACACAACAATATTTGGGTACTTTCCTTAATCAAAAATAAATTATTTCGATAATAAAACATTCATTAATTGATTTTATGACCAATTTAATTTTAGTATATTTCCAGCAAATTTTTAAGAAATCAGTTTGCTATTTGACGTCAAAAAGACAACGTCACAATACACAAAGTCGTACAAAACTCATAGACTATTGAATTCGACTAGTTGACAAGGTACCCAATTATTTCAGATTTTTTTGACCCTATAGTTTTACTTGACGCTTGACTAAAATTGGGGTTTTAAATACAGATATATATCCCACCCACTGATACCAATATTCGGCGACAGGTTCACAGCAGCTAGTCCGATATACGGCTAAACGCGAAAGGTTCTATAGTATCACACATTACTACCAATATCATCTTTGCGCCAAGTATTAAGCTTTCTTGTGCGTACTGCTAAGGAGTGGAACTCTTTGCCAGAGTCTGTATTTCCTGATGGGTATAACCTGGGAGTCTTCAAGACCCAAGTGAATAGATTGCTTATGGGACGACGTGCTCCATCGCAGGCCGCAGCATCGCCTACCACCAGGCGAGATGGTGGTCAAACGTTACTAGTTCACTGACGAAAGTGGAAATTATCGTTCTTTTCTTCTTCTCTTATAATATCTACTGATTCACTTTGTTGCGAGAACCAAGACAGATATTCACGTCCCTGGGACGCGCCGGACTTCAGTGTTCCGGTGTTTTCATGGTTATATCTACTGTAGATCCTAGCTTACAGGAGTTGCAGCGGTTTTGGGAGGTTGTGGCGGACTTGTCCCTATAAAAATGTGTGCAAACGTTGACCCATCAAATATCAATACATAGTATAAAACAAAGTCGCTTTCGCTGTATGTCCGTATGTATGCTTAGATCTTTAAAACTACGCAACGGATTTTGATGCGGTTTTTTTTAATAGATACAGTGATTCTTAAGGAAGGTTTGTATGTATAATACATGCATATTGTACCCGTGCGAAGCCGGGGCGGGTCGCTAGTATTATATATAAAAAATATACGGCTTTATGTTCAAACCTAGTCCAATATAAGATTTTAGTGGCTGCTGGTGCTTAGATTGTGATGCTGAATACATGTATTTTATCTTTGTCGTATGTGTCTGTCTGTCAGTATCCACGGCGGAGAGAAGGAGTTCTCGTGTCCGCGCTGTGACAAGCGGTTCTTGTTCCGCGCCGCGCTCGCTGTACATCTCGTCACACACGACGCGCCGGCGCATCTATACTGTCACCAGGTTAGTACGTCAGTTTGTCCGTCTGTCTAACATTATATGTCAACTAGCAAGTACTTGTGACATCTAGTTGAGACGTGATGTATGACAGATATTTCCGATGTTTTTATTATAGATTTTTTATTAATTATTTACTATTTTTTCGGCTTAATAACGTCATTATTTGACGAATAACTCGACTAGGTTCAAGCCACGCTAGAGGCTCATATTCTTGAGCAGCATTCCGCGACCCGCGACGCGGTGAATTCCTCGTCTAATGTCTTAGAATTAGTAATATTGTGAGTGCTCCTTTCGTCTGTGATTTTTTTTTATAGCATAAGCCGGTAAACGATCTGACGGATCACCTGATGATAAGCAATCGGCGTCGCCCATGGACACCCGAAACATCAAGGCGTTACAAGTGCGTTACCGGCCTTTTGGGAATTGGAATTTAAAGGATATTCTTCCTAGTACAGGCATTCAAGCCTAGTTCAAGCCTAGTGAGATCTCTGATTTTAAATTAAGATGTTTATCTGTACTATGACCAATTTATTATAATGAATAAAGATTTGTTATTATTATAAATAGTTACGTGAGTAAGCCGAAACAAATATAGATAACATGAATAAAGATTTTTTTTCGATTTGAAATATGTATTTTCTGTATTGCGATTGCGACTCGTTGTGTAACTAGTACATAGTTTATACCAAGTCAAGCTATGACAGAGCTCGCTACCTGTCTGACAAACCTATAAATACAATGAACTGCTAAACGCCGTGGCGTGTGATGGTATTGCAGTGCGACTTCAGCTTCAAGAACAAGATGTCGTACACGCAGCACATGAAGTACAGCCTCAAACACTGCGACCCCGCCGCACTCAAGTAAGTAATCACACATTCACTCATCTCACTTACCCATTCTCTCATTCACTCATCCATCCACCCATTAATTCACTATCTCACTCACTTGTAATTCTCTAAGTCACTTGCTCATTAGTTCATTCGGTCACACTCACTCACTCACTCACTCACTCACTCGCTCACTCACCCGCTCACGGCCACTTAATTATCATAACTATATTTCGTCATATAGGTACAAGTGTCACGAGTGCGACAAACGTTTCCTGAAGGAGTCCCGACTACGCGAGCATACACTCGCTGTACATCTCAAGGCAACGCCACTCTCGTGCGACCAGCCAGGGTGCTCCTTCGTGAGTATACTACATACACTAGATACTAGGTCAAGTTATATTGGTCGCTAGTATTGCTACACTCTTGTTGGCCCAGCCTGGGTGCACCTTCGTGAGAATACAATTTGTATAAAGTAAGGGATCATTTTATATTGGTCCATAATTCTCTTTATGGTAGACTTTTTACCTCGCCAATAGAACTGAAATAAACCGCCATCTACACTATTCCTGAACCTTTTAAATCTGCAAGAAAGCCGTATTCCTTCTTCCTTTAGGTACGCAAGTAGACGTGCCTAGACGATCTGATGGTAAGCAATTGCCGCTGTCCATAGATGCGCGTTGGTAAAAACTGTATTGGCTGGCCGGCTTCTGGGGGAGGGAGAGGGGGATTAGACCTCTGGTAACCCCACTCAAACTCCTTTTTAAATGAGGCCGAGCTGAGCTCATTTGTAATCTGCATTATTGATGTTACACGGAGCCACTAGATGTGAAATTTGAAAGTCGTTGGAGGAGCCAATGACTTTCAATGCCAATGCCGTGGTTTTTCCAGTGGGCTAAAATATAACATAGGGTTCTTCAACAGGGGAGTGAATAGGTTTCTTAAGGGTCGACAATACGCATGTAATGCCCAAGTGTTGCAGGCGTTCATAAGCCACGGTAACCACTTACCATCAGGTGGGCCGTGTACTCTTTTGCCACCGTGTCGTGGTATTAAAAAAGCCCATATTCCGCAGTGGACATTATCCCTCTAATAATGAATTTTGACTTTTTGTTGATATTAGGGGAGGCCTGTGTGAGATGATAGTATTTGTTATGCTGTTTATTTTCGTTTAATGATTTTCGTGTCGTGTGTGTGTTCTGTGTCGCATCTCTGCTACATGAGCGTTTGTCTGCGGGCGGGAGGTGCTGCATACTGCATGCTGCAAATTCATTCCTTTAGCGAAATAGAAACTAAATATTTTCCCCGGTGCTTGACGGACTGATCGCTGATGGTCATTTTTTAAAGAGGAAAGTCATCGATTGACTGCTCCCGTTTGGGTGAGGCGGGAGGAAGTGTACTCTTACTGACTAAAAACCACCCCGTTCCTACTCCTGCACTTCGAGCCGGAGCCCCGGTAACCCGTTAGGTTCTCCGCGACTCCGTATCGACATCAGCCCTATTGGACCCCATCCGTGGTGGTCTGATGGCTCTTTTAGGCGCGCGCAGAACGCGACGCGCTGTACCCTCGGGTCTAGTTCTGGTCGGGCAGCGAGCCACCCATGCTCGCCGGCCGCAGGGCCGTGCTTACGGTGGCTGGAGATCGTCCCGCGATCCCTGATGCCCGGAGTGTCTTTCGCCACGGCTGGGTTGTGAGGAGGCAGCGCTTCGCTGCCTCATGCGCCCCGCCTCCTTAGCTAGCATGACTGCTTCGCAAAAGGAGGAGACGGCATCCCAGTCCCCCTCGCTCATCACCATGGCCCGCACTAGGGCCGGACGCGAAAGGTCGCCGTCGCCGATCACGTCCCTGAGGGCACGGCGGTGCTCAGGCCACGCAGAGCATTCCTCAACTGTGTGTTCCACCGTGTCCTCAGGGCGGTCCCCCCAGTGATGGACACCCGGCCGTTTCCTCCCGCCCTAGCAGACACAGGTACCTCCCGAAGCTCCCATGTCCAGTGAGGACCTATGTCAGGCGGTAGGTGAGGACACCATAGCGTCTCTTAACCCACTCCTCAAAGAGGGGGACTTACCGCTGCGATGGCAGCGAGCCCAGCCCTCGGTGGCGACAGTCTTTGCTGCCATTCCGCCATGAGATCGCGCTGGGGCTCTTCCCGCCACGCACTTATCTGGCGCGGCAGCTGAGTTTCGCTCCGGCGACGTGCTTCTGCGCGCAGACTGAATACGCGCGCGAGCACCTTCGCCTACAGATCCGTCGGCGGTAATCCGGCAAGGAGGTTCGCCGCCTCCCCGGAGATCATGCGGTATCCGTGGATCATTCGTTTCGGCGCGTTCCCGCGACCATGAAAACACATAACCTCGGACTTGTAGAGCGCCACCTCGAGTCTCAATTGCCGAATTCTCTCAACGAGATGGTTGATGGTCTAGCAATGTCTTTGTGTGGAAACCACGGCCCGGAAGACGAAGCGTGACGAAGCGTGGGCAGGCCTCCCGCTTGGTGGACTAACGACGTAGCCAGAGTTGCGGGGAGCCTCGCGAGAGATTACACACGTCTGTCTGTCTGTCTGTCTGTCCGCGTGTAGTCGTGTGCGTCGCGCGGCGCGCTCCGCAGCCACCGGCGCGCGCGGCACGCCGGGCCCGCGCTCACTCCTACACATGTCTGCCACGCCTGCGGGAGGACTTACAAGGTAGGTTTCATGTACAGTCAAAGGTCAAAAGTCCACTGCAATTTATACAAAATTATATTTAATTTATATATTTATTTATTTATAATTTTTTATTTAATGTAGCCATAATGCCGTTAATCGACATCCTAATGTATTTTTTTCTTTTTGTGATAGATATGCACCCAAGGAATCATTTGTTATTTTTCTATATTGTTGTTTTTCGTATCCTCCGGTATCACTCCGGTCGAACCGGCCGAGCAGTGCTGAAGCATGACTCTCCCATAGTTAAATTGAAAATAGATTGAATGTTCTAAGTAAAGTCAACGTCAAAGTCGCACTGAAACTTACAACACACGACGTGGTCGGTCCCCATCAGTACACCATATCATTACGACACCGTGACATACACTTTGACTATGTACCTTTATTATATCGTTTACTTCGAACTCTGATTTTAACTTTCAATTGTTTTTTGATCATAGATATAATAAAGAAGTCTTTGACATTGATTTTGAACTTTTATCTGTCATATTGTGAATTTTACAATTTTACTTTGAACCTTGATCTTGAAACTTGAAGTTTGATTTTGAATTTTAAGCTAGCACCATTCCAATCACGAATATGAGCCCCGGTACAGCTTGAAAATACTATATGGTCGACTGCCATTCACGAACAGTGGATTAAATATAGTATTTAATGTATTATTCCAACGCCCAGAGCAAGAAGTCCCTCGAAGGCCACCTCCGCTCGCACGCGGGCGAGCGGCCGTACGCGTGCAGCACGTGCGCCGCCACCTTCACGTACCACGCCGCGCTCTACAACCACACGAGGCTCGTGCATCTCAAACACAAGGTACTTGCAGCTTTATACGCGAACTGATAGAGTCTTCATTGCATTACTTATTGTGTGGCGACACGACTAGAGCGTTGTGTTTCTCTCTCCAATTTATGAATCCTTAAGAATCCTCAAATTCCTAATACCGGGTGTCCATGGGCGACGCCGATTGCTTACCACCAGGCGATCTGTCTGCTCATTTACCCGTTATACCATAAAAAATATACATGTACGTTTTCCAATATGTTCAGTTTCAAGTTTCATATAATGAAAGCGTACAATGGGAGCTACTATATTGTTGCTAACTAGATGGCGCTAGTGTGTCACGTTCATCGTCCAATAAATAATTGGCTAGTGTCGCACCATTGGACGATCAATACTTGACTATACCAGTGATTGGACAAACGACCTATGGTTAGATCAGCGCCATCTAGTGAGCAACAAACGTTAGCTCCGATTGAATGATGTCTTAGTGATATGAAGTTTTTGTAGAAGTAAAAGTCAGTCATGTCGGGTACACGACACCCGCGGGAAGAGTGGCGGTGGTGATGGTGATTAATGTTTTTAACCGACTTAGAAACAAAGAGGTTCTCAGTTTGACCTGTATGTTTGTTGAGCCGCCATTTGCTGAATCTATTTTGATGCGGTTTCAAAGAAATCGAGGTTTAACCATAGTCCGGTATTTTTGTACTCTACCGTCATATAATAATGATTATATTTGTTCCCCCCACAGTTGGGTCGCAAGCGCCCCCCTCCCCCCGCCGCCGCCCCCCCTTCCACGTGATGTCCGGCTGCACGTCAAGGTATCCTGACCCGGGAATCGAACCCGAGAACCACAATATAGATTGTATTTAGTTTTAGTAATAATTTATAAAAATAATAATAAATGAAAATACAACAATGAGTTTGTACATTTTATTTTAATTCATATTTTGTAAACATAACATGCAACAATTCGCGACTAATAAATTAATATACCCACACACACACATACACACATACCCAACACACACACACACACACACTCAGTACACACATTATACACAATATCCATAATAATGTATTAGAAACCAATTTTTAATATCATCAAAGCAGCGCTCTCTGATAGACCTGAACCTTTTGTACTGCGATCTCCAACTCATTTACCAAGCGTGGAGATTGGAGATACACCTCTCTTATGTACACGAGGCTCATAGTCCAGCAGTGGACTGTCTTTTGACTTCAAAACAGTTCCGTTTTGACTTTGACTTTGATGAAAACAGTTCCGTTCAGTTTTGACATGATATGAATACTTCCACCCAGTAATATATTTACGAACACAAAGTTGAGACATTTATTATAATTGAACATAAATGTAACTTGTAGTTCAGCGCCGCGCTGCTTTGTATCGAGTGATGGACACATCTGTGTGTCTACAATCAGACATTGTAGCTCTGGAACTACTGGACGGATTGAGGTGACATTCAGTTCAGATATAGATTGAGATAAAAAGAGGAATGTTTGAGTTTGTAGCTCGTTCTTTTACATTCGAATCTAGACTTTGGAACGAGCTCTGACGGACTATTCTATTTTATTTTATTGTATTGTCCAATAGAAGATGTATGAAAAATATTGACATTTTGTCATTGGGTTGTTGGCTTCAATAGTTTGTCTGCTATATAAGACGGTGGCGAATTCAATAAATCTAATCTTATGAAAACCCGTCCAGCTGTTCACGAGTACAGTGCTTAGACAGTGGTGTAAACACTATTTGTATTAATTTATGTCAACTCTGTACATTTCACATAGATACATAGCGCGATAGTATGCTCCATAATTAAATCTAATTAAATGAAATAATTTATTTTTACGTCAATACTGACTTATACGGTAAGTACATTATAATTATACGAGTTATATATAAATTATTATACATTATATAATAGCGACACACGCGGGCAGTGACTCGTGCCCGCGGGTGTCTCATACCGGGCACACGAGAGACGGTGTGCTCATACAGAACATTAAATGACGTCATCAGTGTCCCCGGCGGTATAGAGTCTATGACACACGTTGTAGAACGATATATTGTACACGATGGCTCGACGACTAGCGCACACACACACACACACACACACACATATACAGACAAGTCATTCAGTATGCAGGCAAGGAAACAAAGATTGGTTCAGTACAGAGACAGTAGCCATTGGTTGTCTAGAGCCGACCGAGTTACAGAAGACATGGCTTCGTTACAAAGCGTACAATGTACTATAACGACAGCTACTGTCTCTGTACTGAAGCAGTCTTTGTTTCCTTACTTCATACTGAACGACTTGTCTCGGTACACACACTACTGGCCGGGCTGTGTATGATCACTCAGTGCGTGTCTCCACTGATGCTGGTGGCGACTGAGATCTCAGTGACTGGCGCTGCATTGTCTCCGAAGTACAGAGCGACCTCATTGTCCTCGCTGGCTGCACTGGCGCTGTCCGTGTCGCTGGGTATATCTCCCCGACTGACTGCCTGTACAGTGGGCGCTGGCGGTGGTACTACGGTCTCGGTGCGCGTGGAGGCGGCCGCCTTCAGGTCGCAGTCGCTGACTGAGTGCTGCTCAGTGGCCTGTGTCTGCTGGTCGTGTGACCGGTCTACAGGTTCGTATCCCGCCGGGAGCACGATGCCGTCCGTGAATGACTCAGCGCGAGTGTTGGAGTTGAACGAGTGAGCGGAGTGTAGTAAAGGCAGACTTTGTTGCTGAGACAACTGAGGAGGCTGCGCGACATTTTGTTGCGCGATATTATGCTGCGCGACATTTTGCTGTACAACATTTTGTTGTTGTATTTGCTGCTGTGCAACATTTTGCTGCTGTCTTTGTTGTTGCACTATGTTCTGTTGAGCAATTTGTTGTTGAACAATTTGTTGTTGCGCAGCTTGTTGTTGTTGTTGCGCAAGTTGCGGCGCCTTGCTGGGGTCGTCGATGGCTTGCAGTATACTCTGCAGTAACCCTTCAGACAATAGTTGCTCGTGAGGCACGGACGGCTTGCCGCCGTTTGAAGGTTGTATCTGCACGGAGTACGAAGCTCCTGAAGCACTCTGGGGTATGTCAGACCCGATGGACTGTCCGGTGGAGGTGATCTTCTGGTGCAGTTGCTGCGCCTGTTGGTTCAGGGTTCGGATCCTGTCCTGAGTCTCCTGTATCTGTTTGCTGACTTGTTGTAGTTGCTCGGCGCGCGTGTGTTTCTCCTTGATAGACTTGCTCTTGTGTACGTTGAACGTGTCTTTGTTCTCTCTCTTGCTGTGCTCGCTCAGGGTGGAGCCGAGACTACTGAGACTGTTCACGTAGCTCGTTGCCAGCTCGTGCGGTATAGTGTTGCCAGACTGGGCAGCCTTCAGTATGGCCTCGTGGTAGGGACAGTGCTTCAATATGGCGGCCGCGTCCAAGTTGGACAGCGCGGACAGGTTGGCCAGCACGGTTCCGTCGACGGTGGACGTGACGGCGTCGGTGCTGGAGCCCGACGTGACGTGGTCCCCGGCCACCGTCAGGAGCGGCGCGCTGTACGAGTCCACCGGGGAGCCGTACGAGGCGGGCACGCTGTATATGCGGCCGGGCTCGATGGACAGCGCCACGCTGTGCGCGATGGGGGGGGGCAGGTAGTGCGCGCCGGGCACGGCCAGCTGCGTGCCGTGCGCGTCGTTGTGTGCGGTGGTGGCGGCGATGTGCTGGAACACGGCGCGGGG